CTTCAATTTGCAGTCCCAGGAAATTATCAAGCCTGGTTTTGTTACCAAATTTATAATTGAACAATTCATCTCGGCGTCGACAAAGCTCTGCCTCCAGCTGTAGACGTTTTTGCTCTTTTTCTTTCCTTCTAGCCTCTTCCCTCTGCAGCTGTTGTTTATTTTGTTCGCGTCGCTTCGCTTCTTCTTCCTGTCTTTCTTGTTCGCTGGAATAACTATTCTGGAAAAATAGCACAAAGTAAGTATCAAATAGACCCTTTCTTGCAGGGTGCTCCGAAGTTGGACCCTCATTTTGTTTCTGACCAGTAAGTGGGGCTTGCAAAGGTAGGTCCTTTCTTGTTGTTACAAAGGGGGTGAGGTGTAAAGCTGGATTTTCTCGAGCTCCAGAAAAGGAGAGGGAGGGGATGAGAGTATTTCTGTTCTTTGGGCCTTTAATAAAATATATTTTAAAGGAACAGCTGAAGAAAGGCTTCTTAAATAATTTTCGGTTTCTAATTCTTTTTCAATCTTTTAGCAAGTATAATTTTCAATTTTATTTTGTGCTTTTATACTGAGTTGCATTTTTAGCTGTTAGCCTTTTATATTAGCATAGAAGAGCCAATTTTTATTCGGATTTGCTAATAAAACCGTGATTGTTATTATTATTATTATTATTATTATTATTATTATTATTATTATTATGTACAACATATGTTATCTGGTAAATTAATGATTTGATAGGTAAATACGCATTCNTTTGTTTGTCAGCAACACTACGAGTGCCGCCATATTGTTTTTGATCTCTCGCCAAGCTTCCACTCGGCTCAACACCAAAACACCCGTCGTGTAACACGCGTAACGCGTAACGTATATGTGGACAAAATATTCGTCAAAATTCGTCTTCGGATTTATACTTACACGAATTATCCGTCTGCCGGATAATCCGTTTAGACGGGTAATTCGTCTGTAGTATAAATTCGGCCAGTCACGCAACACGATTAGCGAAGGTATTTTTAAAGATCTCAATCACAATGCATGGGAAAAATAAGCTTTTTCTTAAATGTGCTTGAATTGGCACTAAATATGATACTGCAATATAAATACAAGCAGAACATTAATTTCAGAAAAAGAAAATTCATCCTTTGCACTGTCATGGTCAGTTCCATATGAACGAAGGCAGGCAGGTTATTTCAATGGTTTTCCTTCAGAAGGACAAACAATGTACTAACAAACGTAACACTGTGACATTTTAACGTGCAAGTTTCTCCCTCCACTTAAAGAAGGCGTATCTGTGCTTTTTTATGTTTAAGATGTTTGCAATAGCTTGTTACGAAGGTGAAAGTAGAACTTGTGATCTACCCGGAAGTCACCGGAAGTGAAAGAAAAAGAAAATGAAACGCGCACAAACTTTTCTCGTTAGCGAAAAAAGAGAAATTGGTCACTTTTTTCAATTTTTGCATCTTGTAATTGTCGCTCATTTTAAGATGGATCGGTTTTTCGGGAGAAGCCGAAAATTTTGCAACCAACATGGACGCCACGCGTTTCGGTTTCTGGGACGGAAGTTGTGTCTCACTGAGTTCAAATAACTGTTTGACACACGCACAGAACGATTTCCATGCATTGATCGGAATACTTCTAACGTAAGGCTTTCCATCTCTGATGGCAAAACACCCCGACAAAAACCTTTAATTGTGCTTTACAAATGGAATACACGAGTAAGAAGCAAACCTATTACAAGTGCCACAAAATCCGGTCAAATAAATACCCAGAAATATAACACTTCAAAAATAGCTGAACAACTATTCGGCAAAAAAATTGGTAAAATCTGGCAAGTTTATGGACTACTTACCCCCATGGTGAAGACCTAGACAGACTTCGTCTTCTTCACAGCAAAAGTGAATGTCTCGGCGTTCTGATCTAAAGATGTGACGTTAAATGATGGGTGTCTCGAAAACACAGACCTTGAAAACGCATGCAGACCACAGATCGCAGACCTTGAAAACACAGAAAATTCCCATTTCACACCACATAGAGGTTTATGTTAATCATTTAAGAGTGTGTCGAAAAACTCAGACCTCGAAAACACAGACCTCGAGGACACAGACCTCGAAAACGCAGACCTCGAAAC